AGTTTCTCATTTTGTTATTTAATTTTTCGATTACTCCCCCGAACGTTTTAATCAAGTATTTAAGTGTAGTAATTATTCTGATACATCTACTTTCATATTTTATATATTTATAATGCTTGATAAAATTTAAAATATTTTTTATTTATAATGTATACCTTATTTTCAATAAATCAAACAGCATTAGTATAAAAAAATAAAATAATAACTCCATCATCATAATTAGGTATGCTTAATAATAATATAAAATATAGGTAGGTATATTTGTAGATTTAATTTTTAATTTTTTTAATTAAATAAATAAAATTAATTATTTCTTTATTTCGTATCCATATAGTTTGGCAATTGAATATCATGTGTTCTGACAACAAAATTAACACCCAGCAATATTTCAATAATATAATTTTTTTCTATAATCTATATAATTAAAATTACAATTATTTTTAAAAAACTTGTTGATATTTTATTAGTATTTTTATTTTTACCATAATTCACATTGCCTACCTAATTAATTTAGACAATTTCATAAGAATATTAAACAATTATTTATTTATGTCTTAATAATTTGTGAATAAGATGTTTTACGATCAGTGTCAAATGTACATTACACATAAACCTTACTTAATTTTATATAAGTATAATATTAATTAATATATTATATCTACATTGTACGCTTTATACTTTTATACTTATTACTGGATTGTTGACAATAGGTTTAACTAATTGGTAAAACCTGAAGATCTGCAGTAGGCTTTTGGTGTGAGAAATAAAACTTGAAATATAATCAATGGTTTCTAATTGTAATGAATATTCTACAATTCGTCACGTTTGCACTTTTCATACGGGTACACATTTTAACGATAACCATAATATAACTTGAAGGGTTTATAAGGAAATTGGCATTTTTACTTGTTATCTTTGTTTTTGTCGGTTTTCCCTTTGACTGTTGAAATTATGTTATTTTATTTCATTATCTCGAATGGCTCGTGTATATAATATTATAATATATGCATGCATAATATGCGTGTATATACTATATATAGTAGATAAAATTACCGATAATAGTGAATTATTGCACTATTATTGTTTTAAATGCTATTTTGCTATTATACAGCTACCTAGTACCTACATGTTTTCTAATGGAAATTTTATTTTCTAAAATGTCCTCTTAAATAACAAGAGTCCACGTAAAGATAGGCTTTAGCCGTATAGCTAAAACCTATATACTCTCATTTGTGTTTTTTTTATACTTTATTTCATACAACCATTCTGTATAATTTATAAATATTATATAATAATGCACTTTAGGGGTATTATACCGAGCCATATAGGAAGTACAATTTTGAGTTTCCGAAGCCCAAAACAGTTTTTATTGAAAGTGACTGTGATGATTCTGTACACATCATATTTTCGACCGATATCATATCTTGTATATAGGTAGTTATAAAATTATTGAAAATGGGTAGGTATTATATTTATTGTGTATCGTATTTATAGAATAAAACTATATATTGTACAAATTGCGTTGCGTAGAATTTTCCATGTAGCTATGTTTACCTTTGGCTCGATTTAATCGATATACATTCGAAAAAAGGAAATTCGTTGTAGGATTGTCCGAAATTAATTCACTAAGTGTTTTGGGAATGAAAAATCGTGACAAAAAGTAAAAGGTACATAATATAAAATAATACATTATGAACAATGTTGTATCTCTGAGTAGAAATGTTTGTCACTGCAATTAAACCGTTTTTCACAGTTGCAGAAAACACCTATATAGCCGTTTGAAATAGAGTATTATCCGATCCGATTGAGAGCAATAACATTAGGAAATAAATGTACTCATGTCGAGTCAATGAGCAACATTGTTTTGTAGACATTTCGAAATACCCCGTATAAGGCCACAACCCTTCGTTGGAAGAACATAATAATAATATAATGCGTAACTATAATATTTTATATTTATATATTATTATATTACGTGTGTACTTAAATTGACATTTGAGCAGGTGTTTACAATATATAGGTACACAGACACCGGTGCCCTACGTTGTTGTTTTTGGCCGACGACGAAACGCGCGTAAACACATCACATTATTATATTAATATTATATACCGAATGACCTCGGGCTTAGGAAACGCGTGTCGCTCTTTTTGTTTTTACATCATAATATTATTTATTTCGTTCTGAACGTGTTTTGATTAAAGACTGTGAACGGCGCCTGTTCGATGATTAGGTAGTAGGTACCAACTGAATATCATGACATTAGGATTCACGTATGCATTTGTCCGCCATATTATATTATTATGCAAAGGTGATGAGCCCTATATATTCGGTTTGCAGTTGCCGTGAAATAGTCGGCGTTCTCAGTCCTACGGAAAATCTCAGTTCCGGACGGAAAATGTGAAAATCTCCGTTCCGGACGGTACAGATAGGTAATGCGTTCAGTATGTTCGGAGAAAAATATATATAAATATATATATATAATATTATCCATTTCAGCGGTAAATCGTATTGATCCGAAACTTAGGTATATATATCTACGACATAACATATGTCGTTGGTTTAACGATACATTAATAATGGGAAATAAAATCCGGTATATCGAAAGAAAAAATAAATACGTACCATGAAAAATGTTTAAAAAAGTAACATATACTTTGAATTATAAATAATCTATTTTACAAAACTCTCGATACTGTTTTCAATGTGAAAACACATTTTTTCGTAAGGATCGTATTATCATTATATTTTAATTGTTTTTTTTTTATTGATTACGACATTGTAAATGTCACGAGCAAAAATAAAATATACAATTTGAAAAAAATAACAAAAACATTAGCAGCAGTATTAACTTATAGTATACTAAAAAAATAATAATAATACTTGCCAGCAAAAATGCAAAACTATTAAAGTAATCTGTTTATAGAAAGTGTCAAACTGTGTAACTTTAACAAAAATATGTGTCGTTCCTTATTATTCTGTGTGCTCATAAAAGTAAATGGTACTGTTTTTTCGATGAAAAGTTAAATTCGTCGGAAACAACCCTCTTTTTATTGCATAATACGATTTTTACAGTTATACCACCAGTATACGGTATATCGACCATTCGGAGTCAATTTAAGAGAAAAATTAAAGTACTCATTGCGCATATTTTTATACGCTGTTAAAAAACCACAAAAACATTTTCCCCTTATACGATACACATAGATATACATAATAATATAGGGTTGTTCTGTTTCTGTGAGTTTATCACGAGTTCGTTGTATATATCTGTATAATATAATCTATACAGAACGTAGAATATTATGTAACAACAATTTCCGTGTATAGTATGTGACTCTATATTTGAGCAGAACTATACTGTTGGGCATATGGATTTGTTTCGGGGTGCGTGTGTGAAAGGGTTGTACGTTTTACGGAAACTTGTCATTCAAAAGTTTCATTCGATATTGTATCACTATATTATATTATAGACGTCCTATGTCCACTCAACATTTTATGATGTAGGTATATATTTTTAACAATATTAATTATAATAATATACGGTATTCATGTTCACAGAAAGTCAGATTACATAATTTGTTTTATAAAATAAATATTATTGTTGGTTACCATCATCCTATACCAATATTTTTTGAAACAGTAGTATTTAGTTAAAATTATAAAAAGATATTTTAGGACCATGCCATAGAACACTATAGGTAGTAGGTATATTTAATTTTAAATGTTGAAAAACTGATTTTCGTTCACACGGCTAGCGGTTTTAAGAGCATTTCTTTGTATCATGTTCAACTGTTTAAAACGTACAAATATGTCAAGTACAAGTGGTGCAACGTATAAATAAACAAAATGGGGTTTGAGGAATACTCAGGATTCTTCCTCTTCCATAAGTTTCTAAAAATAGGTTTACAAACGAGTAAGCTCGAATTGAACGCAGGGTTTCTTTATTAGATCTGTTTTTGGTTGGTGTTCACAGCATCAATAACCCAAGAGTTTTTTGTTCGTGAAATGCGCGCGTTGTATTTCATTGTTGTGTCTAAAAACATTGAATAATATCCTTGAGTTATAGTCTTACAAATATTCTCTTGAGCTGTTTTATTTTTTGGCATTGAGTTCGTAACCAGCAATTAATATCGTTCCTTCACGCAAAAGTAGTGAGCTAGAACTGAATACGCACTAACAAGATCGGTAACAGGGTATTTTTATATCGAAGAACACCAAAAATATTATGTGTAGAAAATTTTTTTCATGTTTGTTGTTTAAAACATATTTTTCTTAAAAAAGTATATTTTTATTTTTTCTCTTTATTGTTTAGTTTTCCGCAACTTATTTTAATTGTATCAAAACAGAAATTTTTCGATTATTTAATAAAAAAATGAATTTAGGGAGTTTTATGAGTTAAAGTTTAATTTTGATGCGATAGAGCAACATTTGCGGTACCGTACCCTCTCCGCTCATCTAACTTAAATTTACGCAACTAATTGCCCTAAATTCAATTTTGTATCGAATACCAAAAATATTGTTTTTGAATTCAAATAAAGTAATGTTGTCTCAAAAACGTAAAAAACTTAAAAAATAAAGTAAAAATATTTAAAAATATATTGTTTAATAAAATGGATTGTTTTTACAACGAACTATGTAAAAATTTTCTTAAACATCAATACTTGTGAAATCTGAGGTTTCGATAAAAAATCACCCTGTAAGTCTTTTTTTGTACATACTTATGCATCAGAGTTCCAAGCTTATTATATTTTAAAGAAGTAAATCAAAATGACGGCTACTGATTTGCACCTCATAATGATTTGTCATTTGTAAGCTGATTCCTCATATACACAGAATAAACAAATATACTATACGATGCAAATATAGGCGTGTGACCATATAATGATCAGATACCTTTATATTTGAGATATTATTTTGAACGGACACGCGTGTATGAATGTTTTAAGTCTTTTTTTACATTTTAAAACTTCAAAACAAACGCCTTGCAATATGATGAATAATGACTATAGACTTCAACGGCCGCATTGAACGATGCGATGATTCAAATCTGTCCCTATATTATGACGCGGTAAATTTTCCACTCATCGGAATGCGAATGGATTCGGAGGCGGCTACGAAACGAAACATGAACTTCGTGGCCACCGCATTGGCAATGCGAGATTGGATACTTACGGCATACTTCAATTCAGGTACACACTCGAACAGTTTCCGATGTTTATAGCTCAAAACTAAACTTAACTAGTTGACTATCAACGGGCGCTTTACTCTTGGCATGGGTTCTAGGGGCTTAATGGCTTATGTTTCTTTAACTATTACACCGAGTAACACTATGTACTAACACTCATATTATTATTATTATTATTATTCTATACTTACGTATTGTATTAGTATAAAACACATTTCAGGTGTAAGTATATTACTATTATTCCATTAATGAAATATCATCAAAATACGATTTTTTGATGTATTAATTTATAAAGGTATGTTAACATTGAATTTTGTATGTATACATATATATTATAATATAATTTACATTTATATACACACAAATTACAAACCTCTGAACTAAAATTATCACGGTGTTTGTGGTTAAATTCAATCGAACCAAAACATATTTAATGTGCAGTTGAAGTTAAACATCGATCAAGGTCGTAACTTGTATAATGTTCATATAATATACCTGTATATATTCTACGGCTGTATTACAAAAGGACATCCCCTCCTGTATTTCTTTTATCTGGCCACAGATAGCACCATATTTTAGCGATCAATTCGGCGCCAAAAATCGAACTATGACTACACTGTTTGTCTCGCAGTAGTTCATTAATCTTTAATAATTTATTTATTAAAAATGAATAAAACTGTGATTGATATACCTTTTATTGTAGTATTAAATTAACCATTTACTTATTGATATAATATTTTGACAACCAGTTATAGTTTTGGCTATTATCTAACGCTTAGCCCTATATGGCTATATATCGTACTATAATATATAAATCAATTTTAATAACACTTCGTAAGTAACTGGGTTTAATTTGATGTATAATATAACATGTAGGTAATTGTACAAACTAAATAGTACCTCTATAATAGTTATTATTACATCCTTGAAAATTGCCGAATTTATGTTTTATTTATATGTACCTACTACCTATATATATATATCAATGTAAAATATATGAACAGCACATATTATTATTATGACCATGGTAATATCTTTGTCGTATAAATATATTTTTTTTTTATTACAATTGTTTCAATAACGTATTGAAAATATTTACATCATTTTCTACTTACTAAATAAATAACAATTTTGAGATATTCTTTAAAAATCTGCTAGTAATATGTAATACATACTACCGCCACGCAGTTGCGGTAAGCATGATATTTATAGTACCTATTCATTATATTTTTTTAAAGACTATATTATTTTTTAATATGTTATAATATATAGGTATTCACTAATATTATGTATTAATGTATTATCACCAATGCAATTCTCAAAGACCAATGTATAATTACCTAAGTTTATCAATATTATAAACTTATTATACAGGTACTGAATAACCATCAATATACTACAAATTTGTAAAATTACTAAGTATCTGGTTTGATGTGATCAGTTTATTGACTGTTTTGAAAATAGTAGATGATTTCTAAATTCTACTTCAAAATTAGTTTGCAACTAATTCCAAAATATCCAAAACTTAATGTGGTAGGCATAATATTATATTAAACGTTCTGAAATATATCGATTGACCTCTATGATATATTGAAGTTGAAGCTTTATAAATTATAATATATTGTTATCCATTTTATGTTGGGGGGGGGGGACGAATTTCTGCCAATGTACTTACATGATATTATATATATTATATTATAGTCTATAATGATATAAAAGTGCCTATACCTACCTTGAAAACGATTAGAGGCGTATAACGTGAGTAGTTAGTAATATATAAGAAGGTATATTGTATAAGCTCTTATTTTCTTCATTATCGTTTTTCCCATCTGTATTATGTTGCAAAAGCAATGCATTCACTCGCTGTTTGCTAATTTTTGCGAGGGTTCTCAGTCGTTCCTTTATAATATAACTATATATATTATATACCCTCCCCTGCCTCCGCGCACCCGCCTTTATAAAGCTAATCGAATTGCTTTTGTTTCGCTCGCAAAGTTTTCATACTATCCGTCGACCCACTATAAACAACACTAATTTTATTAATACCTACGTAGACATTGTTGCAATTAAAACAACCCGTCTTCATCTAGAAGAATGATTTTGCTGTTAAACGTTGTTCTTCCTGATGTTAATTCTACTGTTAACTGCAGCTATGGTATATCTACGGCTCTTCGTCGTCCATGAAATTTGATTCGTGTTTATAGTCATAATTCTTATAGTTTATTGTATATTGGAATTCAAATAGTTATAGTTTTTTTTTTAATTCTTTAACATTGGATGTACGCTCGTCGCTAGAACAATTTGAAAAACTATCACTCTTTCTTGACAATATTTATTGTAGACATGGGACAATTTAGTAAAATATATAACTCATGGAACCATATTATGCAGATTCGTATTGTTATAGACTTATAGTTATATACTGTGACGATAATTTTGCACTTCCAATAGCGGAAAACACAACCAATTTTTGTTAAGGCCATTGTGTGTCCAAGACCTTGACTTCGTGGGGTGACTGAGCTGGTCACCGTCTCGCGCGGTGCGGTCTTTATTGTCTAGTTTTATTTTTCTATTATTTTTCCTCCTTTAACACAAAAATGTACCGTATCTCCTCAAGGATTTCCCTTGTCCGGACAGATAGTTTGAAAATCGCACGATACACACACACACACGCACACGTATATAATATAATATATATTCGTACACATATCGCTGCAGTGTACATAATAATATACGACGCGGGTTAGGTTTTTCTTGCATGAATAAAATATCATTAGAATAAGTGAACGCAGCACCGATTCGTATTTGCTCTGTACCTAGTCATAATTATCATGAAAATTTTCGGCCATGTTTTCGACGATTTAAATCGAATACCCGAGAGAAGTTCAATAAACCTTCCGCGAGCGCCGTGTAACGCGCACGCGCACGCTTGTGCGTATGTATGTGTATAAGTACATAATATGTATGTATGTAAGTATGTATATATGTATGTGTATATGTATGTATGTGTATGTAAGTGTATATTTTCGTGTGTGTGTGTGTGTCTGCGTGTAGATGCGAAAAAACAGTGCGAAACTGTTCCAGTCACGGTTCAATTCTCGCAAAGAGGTCGTTGATTCCGCAGCATATTTAAGAACCATAATAGGAATAAAGCGGAGACTCCACAAAAGCGTAGTTTTATATTCGAAAATAATTTTTTATATGACCGGAGTGTCGATATTATATTATATAGTTGTGCCGAAAATTGCGTTTCTGTGTTTAGTCAGTACACGAATAGTTTTATATATTTTCATTATGCCTACGTGTGCAAAAAAAAATATTTATAATATGTACTGTTGTGTATACTCGCCGAGTATCGGTGTAAATTTTTTTAGACGCTGTTAATTAACAATAGTCTTCATTGTTAGTTGGCATTGATTTCTGAGACTTCCAACTGTAATTGGGTACCTCGTACATCATACATATTATTCGTCTGTCGGAACACGATGTTCCTGCACACTCGATATTTTGTATAAAATGTAGGTATATCACGTCAAATCCAAACCGAATGCATTATTATTGCTATAAATCCTGAATAAATATGGACGAATTTATTCTCAACTCAATATTTAATGGATTTGAGATCATTAATAAACTAGATTTGATTTTGAAATACTGAACAATTAAAATTAATTCAGTATAGTATCTACGCGGGCTATATACTCTGCTTGTTAATTTTATTAATACATCAGTTTTGTCAAAGTCAATAAAGCACGTACCCGTTACGGTGTAAGAGTAAACATTTCGTTGTTTGGTTTGCGTGATAATGTTAAGAAGTACACATATTAATATAATATTATAATAATGTACAGTAAATATGATAAAACCAGTCTGAAATTAAAGCGTATAAATATGGTAACACAAAATCGATTAGTGGTTTGACTGTCGGCTGTGGTTATTTCGCTTCGTGATAATATTATAATTACTTCGGGGTTTAATGAGTTTTATCTTATGCGGAATATTATTATATATTATGGTTTTCTCGCGTTTGCGGATTCACTGCTCTTATTTCAAAAAGCAAAATGAATATCGTTATGCTCCATGCAGGGTAGGTCAATTTAAGGGTTGTATACATGAAAAATCTATACACCAATATGTTCCCCAACAAATCATTAAAATATTATATTATATTATATTATCTCGTATGTAATCTCTAATGTGTTATATTATATTATATTATATTATTATATTCTCGCTTTAAAAAAATATAATATGTTTTCCTGGAATTATAACACATTAAAATTATAATACATGAATAAAAGTTTTATACGTAAGTATACCTACATACAATGACCCGTTTGATCATTTCGTTAAAGACGAGGAAATAACTTTCGACGAGTGAAAAGAAAAGTGATGAACTTTTATTATAACGTATACTCGGAAACCCTTCATAATTATAATAGAAATAATGTGAAAATGTATGAAATATGTATGATATAACATAAATATTGTGTAGGACGTAGGTATTACTTACACGGTCCGTGACTTAGAGCTTCTTGCTTGTAGATGTAGAAATCACATTATTGTCGTTGGGTTTTCTTCTGTAGAAATACGAACTGTTCCCCAATCCCCAGAGGATCATCGTTATAAAATGCACTGAATACTAAACGTCACTTTAATTAACACACGCTGACACAATACCGCGGTCGGATCCATTCCACGTATAGGACATTCATTGTTTCAAAACGTTTAAGATTTTTCGAAAATATTTTTGTTTGGATCGTTTTGAGTTGTTTACACATTTTTTAATAATACTTTTTTAATTGACAACGTGTAATTCCTTATTTCAAAGCCAGAGTAATTTTAGAGTGCTTCGATAGATAAAATCGAGTTTTGGATGAACTGTTTATGTGGTTTATAATTATTTAAAGTTTATATGTGGAGGGGTGTACAGGGGTAGCGGGTAGGTACACCTAAAAATGTTGGTTCAGTACTCCGTTTTCTAAACTTTAAATACCTACATTTGAGTATATTATATAACCTTTTAACAACTTGTC